TACAAATTTTCAACATACAAGTGCAACTATGAAACAAGTGCAACCTGGACATAATTCAATATTGGTTCTATCTATGAAATGCATACAAGTGCAATATTGGTTTCATAATTCATAATACAAGTGCAACCTGGACATAATTCAACATACAAGTGCAATATTGGTTTCATAGCAATGGGCATAATTCAACCTGGACATTATTCAATATTGGTTCCATCTATGAAATGCATACAAGTGCAATATTGGTTTCATAATATTGGTTTCATAATTCATAATACAAGTGCAACCTAGACATAATTCAACATACAAGTGCAATATTGGTTTCATAGCAATGGGCATAATTCAACCTGGACATAATTAAATATTGGTTCCATCTATGATATTGGTTTTATAATATTGGTTTCATAATTCATAATACAAGTGCAAGCTGGACATAATTCAACATACAAGTGCAATATTGGTTCCAATTGACATAATTCAATATCACCCAAAACATTATGCATCCAATGGGCATAAATCATCTAACTTACACATAAAACATAAGAAAACATTATGCATCCAAGTGACAATCATCCAAGAGTTCCAAAAATAAAAAAGCTACAGTCATCCAACAAGCATTGTGCATCCAAAAAAAAAAAAAAAAAGTTACAGTCATCCAAAAAGAAGCAAAAAAACCATTCATTTCCTTTCACCAAACCATGAGCCGTGTAAACCTTCATAACAAAAAAACGAAATTATTTAATAAAGAAACACTAAAAACAAAAAGTCTTAAACTTAAAACAAGTAAACATATATTAAAAACATTTAACAAAGGGGTAGTATTTTACCAATGATATTAAACTTGAATAAAATTACTCTCCGGACTTGAGCTTAAACACGAACGTGATTCCGAAACAACTATGCATAAAACATAACACAACAAAAACATGTAAAGTGAAGATAGTGAATTTTCAAAAAACAAAATAAATGAAATGGATTAAAAATAAATAAATCATTATATATATATTACCCGAATCATATTGTTGTTCAAATTCTTCAACATCCTCCATTGCTTGTCAAAGGCATATTGGAATGTTACTTCGAAGCCAATTTTGTGTACAAACAAGAACCTCCACCATCTTGGAAGCAAGTGAACTACGAAATGGATCAAGTATACGACCTCTTGTACTAAAGGCCGACTCAAAAGCAACAGTGGAAATAGGCGTTGCCAACACATCTCGTGCTATAAGTGATAATACTCTATACTTAGTTGCATTAACCTTCCACCACTCCAAGATATGAAATTGAGCATTGTTCCCACCTTTCTCAATATCACCCAAGTACTTGTCCAATTCTGATATACTCTCACTACTAGAACCCCTCCAAAAATGAGTTAAATTGAGAGTTCACAATAGAGTGTGGGTCATTTTCATCTATCACCATATCTACTCTTTCATTTACATTAGAGGCATGCACATTTGTTGAATCAAGTGTGGCATAATGATCATACAATTGACTCAAACAATTTTTCACCTTATCTAATATTTCTTTCACTTTCATCACATCTCCACCAAAAATTGTTGAAAAACAAAATTGCAAGTACGTCATTTTTCTTCGAGGATCAAGTACTACCGCAACATACAAAAGTAGATTGATTTTATCCCTATTTCCCCAATACTTGTCAAACTTCTCTTTCATTTTCTTTGCCATTGAAGACAAAATAGGATCATTGTCTTTGATTAATTGTCTAATCATATTTTCAATGACAAAAATTTCAATGTAGAATGTATTTGAAGCAACAAACAAAGACCCAAAAAATCTCTTTGTTGCATTGTAGAACATTCTAAGAAATTTCAAAAACACCCTACAATTATCCCAATCCTCGACTGTAGGCATCTCTCTCCTCTCACCCCATTCATTATCCAAACAGTAGTGTTTGTAGTTGTAGTCCTCCTCACCCATTCTTTGAAAAGCACTCTCAAATTTTTCCACCGCCTCCAACATAAGATATATGGAATTCCATTGTGTTGGCACATCTAGGCACGAGAGACTCTTACTCTCAATTTTCAAACTTTCCACATACTTTCTAAAAGAGTTAAGGCGGTTTGGAGAAGACCTCACATACCTCACTGCATGCCTCACATTCGCTATACAAGAGTCAAGATCCTTCAATCCATCACTAACAATGAGATGTAGAATATGTGCACAACAATGCATATGTAAAAATTCATGGCCCAAGACTGTTCCCTTCCATAGTTTTGTGGTTTGTTTCAAGAATCTAATGGTTAGATTATTGGAACTCGCATTATCAACAGTTAAGGTAAAAAGGCCATCAATGTCCCACTCTTTTAAGAGTGCCTCAATTTTTTTATCAAGAGTTTGTCCTTTGTGGTCTTCAACTTGACAAAAATTTATGATCCTCTTTTGTAACTTCCAATCATCATCAATGAAATGTGCAGTTAGATACATATAACACAAATTTTGTATAGAAGTCCATGTGTCTGTGGTAAAGCAAATTCTACGCCCCTTCACAATTTTCTTCAACTTCTCCCTTTCATTGGTGTATATGTCTACAATGTCCCTAGCAATGGTATATCGAGATGGGATCTTAAACTTGGATTGCATGACATTACAAAACCTCTTAAAACCAATCCCCTCAACAAATCTAAAGGGCAATTCATCAATTACTATCATCTCGGCAAGATACCTCCTAGCAACTTCGGTAGAAAATGACGTAGCCACAACATCAACAACATCCTCCCCACCAACTTCTCTAGGTTGAAACCCCAATGTTTGTTGCCCATGAGTATCCCTATATGGATACTTTGTACAATTTTTTAAATGACTTAACAAATTACTTGTTCCATGACTCTTTGACCCTGCCATATATTCTTTCTTACAATACTTGCACATAGCCCTATCTTTCCCATCAATACCCTTAATCTTTTCAAAATGATCCCCAGCCTTTGATGTTGTTCTCCCACTACTACTAGTTTTGGCCAGGGGTGGTCTACGAGGGGGAGCATTAGGTTAGGTAGAGGGGTCAACAGAAGATGATTCGAGCTCAACATTAGGAGTCACAAAACATATTTCTTCGCTTGAAGGATCCATGTCCAAAAGATTATCAAATATACTGCAAAAAAAAAAAAAAAAAAAATCATTCAAAATATGCTTTTTAAATCCATGGTTTGTTTTTCCTTATGATTTCAAACAAGATGAACAAATCCCATAATGGTTTTTTAAGTCCCAGAATGGTTTTTCCTTATGATTATCAATTATGCTTAGCAGAATACATGAACAACTAAATCAATTCCTAGAATTCCCAGAACAACTACATGAACAAATACATATATGAACAACTAAATCAATTCCCAGAAATACAAGAGATGACAAAAAAATCATATATGAATTCATAAACACCAAGAGATGACAAAAAAATCATTTTGTTACTCCAAAGCATTCAATACAAGTCCCAAAAATACAAAACCCAAATAGAATCACCAAACAAATTATTATCAGAGTTATAAAACTAAGCAAACAAACAAGAAAACAGGGTTGAATGTCTCTATGGAAGTAACATGAATCACTTTCACACTATAACAGAATTAATAAAACACTTTGTAACAAATGGGTTATGCTAAATAATTATTAGAATTTCTTTATAAGCAAACAAATTCAAGACAGTGGCATTACATTACATTACTTCAAATTCAAGACAGTAGCAACTGATTTACACAAATCTTTATATTAAAAAAAAAAATCAAAAGTTTCTTAGTGGCATTACATTACCTCAAATCAAACAGCAACTTTCGTATGAAGCTAAAGCTGATAGACAGAGAGAGAGGAAAACCCAAAGCCAGTTCAAGATTACATCAATGGCAGCATTAGAACTGCAACAAAATTGCAACAAAACAAAAAACAGATTTTTGGTTAGACAGATTATCGAATATCAACAAAACAAGAGCAGGAAAAAAAAAATTGAAAACAGATTAAGCTTTTAGTCGAAGAACTGGAACCGCAAAAAAAAAAAATCAGATTAGAGATTGAGGAGAAGAATAGAAGAAGAAGAAGAGGAAAGAAGATTATGGAATATCAAATTACAAAACAAGAGCAGGAAAAAAAAAATGAAAAACAGATCAAGGTTTCAGTCAAAGAACTGGAATGGAACCCAAAAAAAAATAATAAATAAGATTAGAGATTGAGGAGAAGAATAGAAGAAGAAGAAGAGGAAAGAAGATCTCACCGCTACCACAATGATCGCTCATCCTCTTTCAGTCGAAGAATGGGTTAGGGTTAAGGTTTCAGTCGAATAAAAGGGCGTAAAAAAATAAAAATAAAAAACAACTCAGATCGTCGGTCGAAAAGAAGATCGCCGATCGACTTTAGGGATCGTCGGTCGTCGCCGTCTATCGTTAAGGTTTCGAGGGGAGAGAGAGAGAGAGAGAGAGAGAGAGAGAGAGAGAGTGTCTGTGTGTGTTGTGTATGTCTTGAATCAAAGAAGACGAATGGCTTTAGCCTTTGGGTAATAGGTAATGGAAGGTAAAAAAAATAAATAAATAAACGGAGGCAATACAGGTAGGGTTTCACGGGTAATGGCGGATCAACCGCCACCCGACCCGAACCTGCAAAACTCAGAAAATGGGCCCGCATCCGCCCGCCACATGTCACGCATCCATCAAAATGTGGTCGGGTCAGGTCTAGCAGGTCGGGCAATCCGTTGCACAGCCCTAGTTACCACAATGTTCACAAAAAAAAATTAGTGCTCGAAAACTATTACCTAGGCTTAAGCTCAAATCGAGTGTGAGCTTATAAACAAAGATATAGAAAATTGAGAATTCTATTATGCACATTCTCATACCATATATATCTTTAGTTATATTATTTTCTTATTTAATTATGATTAATTTTTTTTTTTTTAATTATGATATTATTTTGAAATTTTTATTGTGATTTTATTAAAAAATATAAAATTATATATATATTTTTTATAATTATAAAGTACATACACGGCCTTCTCGAAAGAAACTAGGGCTGAACTTAAGCCTCAACCCTCAGTCAGGTCCATAAGCCTATTCATTCCACAAGAAACAACCTTTCACTGTCACACACACACACAATGGTGGTGACGAAGCTGTGTATGACAGCACGCACCCACTTCTTATCTCTTCCTCAACTCTGTCGCTCTCCTCTCACTCTCGGTGGTAACAGACATCTGCTCCTTCAACGCCGCTTCAAACAACTACACTCTTCTTCATCACCACCGCCCATCTCTCCCATCAAAATGTCAACGCAAATCATCGAACACATCGTCCTCTTCAAGGTCAAACCCGACACTGACCCATCAAAGATCGACTCCATGATCACCGGACTCAACTCTCTCATCTCCCTCCATCAAGTCCTCCACCTCACCGCCGGTCCACTCCTCCGCACCCAATCCTCTCCCTTCCCCTTCACTCACTTGCTTCACAGCCGATACAACTCCAAGGACGACCTCACCGCCTATTCCGATCACCCCAGCCACCTCACCGTTGTTACCGACTTCGTCAAGCCGATCTGCGATGACATCATGGCCGTCGATTGGGTCGCCGACTCTTCCACCCCTCGGCTTCCCTCCGGTTCGGCCATGAGAGTGACGTTCCTCAAGTTGAAGGAGGGTTTGGTGGATACTGAGAAGAAGAGAGAGATTTTGGGTGTGATTGGAGGAATCAAAGATATTTTTCCATCGATTGATCAGATTTGTTTTGGGGAAAACTTCTCTCCTGCTAGGGCCAAGGGGTTTTCGATTGCTTCCATTGCGATTTTGCCCGGATTGAGTGAATTGGAGGCTTTGGATTCGAATTCGGAGTTGGTTAATTTGCAGAAAGACAAGGTTAGGGATTTGCTCGATAGCGTCATCGTTTTGGATTATGTGATTCCGAAGCCGCAAAATGCAAGCCTTTGAAAGGTTCAATTCTGTCTCTCTTGCTGAAATTTGTTGTTATGAATTCAGACTATAACCTGTTTTCGAGCACAGTGTTTGATGCTTGTGTAATGGACCGTATTTGAATCGTTAAATGCAGCAGCTTGCTAGCGCACTTATTTTGACTATATTTTTGCAAATTGGATGTTTTGATTGCTCGTGATCATTTTTGTTTTGTTTTTATGGCTTAAGCAATGTTCTTCTAGTTCATGAAGCTTACAGAGGACCATGGTATGATCATTGGAAGGTAAGGAACAGAAAATTTGATTTTCCTTTTCTTTCTTTCTTTCTTTCTTTCTTTCTTTTTTTTTTGGTGGTGGTGTCTAAATGTGATCCAATCAAAAGTTATTGGAGCTTATATTAATCTTGATTTCTTATGATGTTTAATTTTGTTCTTGGTAGATGATGACACTTTTTGCTCTATGGTAGATGTTTGTTTGAAGCATCAAGATTATTATTTATAGATTTCAGATACTTTCTTCTAAGCTGCTATTGAGGCTTGTAAGATGTTCCTTCTTGCTTGGTTAAAGCTTTTTAACATTTTAGAGGACAAAGATTGTGTTTCCGATGTTGCGAACTCAAATTTAATAAATTCTTGTGCAAATATTCTTTACGTCAATGAAACCTTTTTGTTCTGTTCAGGGTCTATAAATGTCCACCTTATTTGTTTTGTTGAGAATTTTGAGCAGTAGAAAATGGAAACGAAGGGTTGAGGCAAGAAGGAAAGGCGAAAGGTGAGTTTGGCAATGGGGTTCAACTTGGATTTGGTTATTCTTTCGACGGATAATTGGCCCCAAGTGTAAAAGTGATATTGTTAACAATTTTCAGTTGAAGTTGTATACCAACAAATTGCTTCATTTGTTTTTCACACAGTTTTAGTGTTAGAGAACTTCTTGGCATTTCTCATAAAGGAAACAAATTAACACAAGTATGCCCTTGTACAAAAAAGAGGTAATTCATAGTCATTATTTTACAACTACAGTTTTTGAAGTTCTTCTTTCTTCTTGCCTCCTTTTTTTATTAAGTAGTATCCATCTATCAATACTATTCTATAAAAGAATACAACTCCTTTGCTGTGAATTGTCATACTTTTTTTCCATTTCCAAATTGCCCTTGTACAACTATCTCTATATAACTATTTTGATTTTGAATTTCAAATTTTGTTAGCTTTTATTATTATTATTTTCAGCAGGTTGATTTTCATAGAACACCCATCGGGTGTGCACACCATCTGTTTTATTAAAAAACAGGCACCAAGGGGGTGCAACCTAACCAAGAGGAGTGCAATGCAACTTGTGTACAAGAAGGAAGGCCTATATTTATTATACAATATATGCTTTTTGATAAATCACAGACTCCTCTCCTTCAACTTCCAGTCCATGTCTAAACAGTCCACCCTAGACTCACTATTCATTTTCTCTCTTCTGCCACTTCTCTCACTAAAGGCGATCGTCTGTTCTCTCCCCAGCTCTATAGAAAGACTAAACTAGTCTCTCTCTCTCTCTCTCTATATATATATATATATATTTAAATATATATACAGCCAAATAGCATTGTAGAGATTTAGCACAGGCCATCAACATTTAGATCTTCCATTGTTAAAATGCAAAGTGATTAATTGCTCAATGTTATGTATAGTTTTTGTTTTCGTTTTTTGGTTGTTTTTTGTGGGGTTGAAATTTCATGTGTTAGTTGATAATTTTGCACAATAGAAATATAGTTTGGTATTATTATACGCTGCTTTTCATCAATGGAACTTCTAAATGTTGATGGCCAGTAACGAGGGATGCGTTTGGTGGGAAATAGTTTGTGATGCTCAATAGGAGGAGCAGTGGCTCTTCCGGAAAGGCAACCAGAGCTTTCTTTCTTGTGTTACCATTTTTTGATAAACAGAAAAGGTAAAACATTTGTTAAAGGAGAATTCTCTGGTTCAGCTTCAAGGAGGGAAAGTCCAAAACAGGAGGACTCAACTTGGGATGGCAGAAACTTCCAGCCAAAATTCAAGAAAGTATGCCTGGAGCCAAAGCTGGAGGAGCTATATGGGACCGGTGCCTTTAGCTATCTGTGGAGTCTACCATCTCCTTCAAACTTCTGTATAGATGAGCTAGAAGGGCAAGGGCAAGCTTCCTCCTAGCAAAGAAAGATTTTGCAAGATCTGTGAAACCCTTGGTTTACCTTGTTGGGGAGATGCAAAAGATAAAATTGTTCAACCAATAGGCCCAGAAGATGTGTTCTTCCTCGCTCACTTATGCCTCCTTTCTCCTAGAAATGAAGTAACCATATGAAAATACGGTTCTATTACACTTCATTTGGATCGTGAGGTAAGAAAAGAAAAAAAAAAAAATTTGTTAGGGCTTGTTTGGTTTGTATTTGAAAAACATTTTTTGAGATAAAAAGTACGAAAATTTGTTTTGTTTGGTTTGATTTTTTTTTAAAAGATGTTTTGAAAAATTATTTTGAGAGAGTTTTGGAAAAAGTGATTGATTTGATGTGTATGAGAGAGAGATTTGTTTGGAAAAGTTGTAAACCAAACAAGTTTTGAAAAAAAATTTTGGGAAAATTTGTTTAGTTTGATTACTTTTGAAAACTTATTTGTAGAGAATTTTTCTCAAATTTTTTTGAGAAACACAAACCAAACAAGGCCTTAGTTTCTCACTTAGGCCTCATTTGAGAACATGCTAATTTAGTAATTTTTTGACTATTTGGCTAAAATATGAGTTAAAAAAAATTAGTATGTTTGGGATGATTTTTTGGCTTTTTACGAAAAGATGTGCAAAAATAGACAGAAAAGAGAATTTTTGACTTTTTGGTATGGATTGTTGGCTTTTTGGCTAATTTAGTAACTTTTTGACTTTTTGACTAAAAATGAGGGTTCTCAAACGAGACCTTAGGTGAAAAAATAAAGGAAATGATAATAAAAGAGAAAACAATATAGAATCTCACCTATCTTGATTGGATAGAGTAAAAATAAGAGAAAAAAAAAGAACAGCGCCTTATTTCATTTTTAAAAAGGGTAAATTACACTGACACCTCCTTAAGTTTATATTTATTACAGTTTTTTTCTTCACCTTTTGAAAATTACATCTCCTCCCTGAGGTTTGAAGTTTCATTATAAATTTTTCCTTCAGTAATTTAATTTTTTTAAATATCAATTTTGTCCTCATTGGGCAAATTACATTGACACCCCTCACATTTTAGAAATTACAATCTCCTCCCTAAGGTTTAAAGTAACATTATCAATTGTCTCCTCGGTTAGTATTAGTTGGAAAAAAAATTCATTGAAAAAAAATTCATTGGAAAAAAAATTATTTGAAAACAAAATTAATTTGAAAATTTTTTTTGTTAGTGAAGTTTTTAAATTTCTGTTTAAAAATCAACGTAATTTTATTTTTTGAATTAAATTTTTTTTTTCAAATTTATAAACTGAAACAATCATTTATAAACAAAAAAAATTATCAAACAAGTTTTTATAATATTTTTTTAAAATTTTGTAAATATAAACAGAAAAGTGAAAATGAAATGGTTACTAAAAAAGTTTGATGGTAAAAATATCGTAAAATTAACAAATAATTAAATAAGTTAGCAACGTAAGAAATGACTTATCAAAAGATTCTTAGGCTATGTATGGTTTGATTTTTAGAATTTTTTTTTTAAAATTAAAAATTAATTTGGTTAAGAAATAAAAAATAAAAAATAATTATCATTTTTATATAATTTTTATCTTTCGAGTTGTTAGAAATAATTTTTTACAAATTCAATTGAAACAGCAATACGTATGTATATAACTTATTCAAAAGTTAAAATGATAATTATTTTTTACCTTTAAATGATAATTATTTTTTATTTTTTATTTCTTAACCAAATTCATTTTTAATTTTTTTTAAAAAAAATTTAAAAATCAAATCATACATAGCCTAAGAATCTTTTGATAAGTCATTTCTTACATTGGTAACTTATTTAATTATTTGTTAATTTTATGACATTTTTACCATATATATAAGGCCTGTTTGATAATCATTTCTTTTTCAGTTTTTAATTTATATTTACAAAAATTTTAAAAACTGTCATAAAAACTTGTTTGATAAATTTTTTTAGTTTATAAATGGTTGTCTCAATTTGTAAATTTGAGAAAAAAACATAAATTTAAAAAATGAGTTTACGTTGATTTTTAAACAAAAATTTTACTAACAATTTTTTTTCAATGAATTTTTTTTTTCAATAAATTTTTTTTCTAACTAATATTAACCGATGAGGGAATTGGTAATGCTACTTTAAACTTTAGGGGAGGGGATTGTAATTTCTAAAATGTGAGGGGTGTTAATGTAATTTACCCAGTAAAGACAAAATTGGTATTTAAAAAAATTTAATTGCTGAGGGGAAATCTGTAATGAAACTTTAAATCTCAGGGAAAAGATGTAATTTTCAAAAGGTGAGTGAAAAAATTGTAATAAACATAAATCTCAGGAGGTGTCAGTGTAATTTACCTTTTAAAAAACTAACATTTCATATTAATAAGCTACATTTTTTCAGCTTCTTCTACCATAGGATGATATTGATATTGTAGAAAAGTTTCATTAAACTCATTTCCTCACACCAAATTTCACAATGCTGAGGAACAAAACAAAGCTTTGGTTTTGGTGAGAGTTCTCTTCTCACCATGGCTCATAATTTTTTACTTACTGTGTGGGTGGTTTTCTGATCACACTGCCCGACTCAGTATTCAGCTGAAGAACACTGGCAGAATAGATGACACCTAGCTAACCTGCAACAGAAAGAGGAGATTCTGGCAGTGGTTTCGACCACCCGGGGGCACTCTGACGATCAAGTCAGTATATCTCTCAAAGATAAATCAAGTGCTAAACTCACAAGCTTGAGTACCAAAAGCATAAGATTGCGTACCTTAGACTCACGGGGGTGCCTCTCTTTTATAGTTACCTCAATCCTAATCCCAATAGAAGCTTGATTTCTATGGATTCCTGTTTAATACTTACCTTGGACTCCTTTAGAGATAGAGATAAACTCCCTAAGAGCTTTATTCTTATCTTGGCTAAGTCTCCTCTTTATTTTAGGACTCTTGTCCTTTATCTCTTATTTGCTTATCTCGAATTCCGATATCTTCAGAGATAACCTCGGCTTGACCGAGATCACCTCGGCATTATAACCCTGACACGTAACACCTCGGTTGACACGTCGGCGTCACCTTGCCACGTGTCGATGCTCAAAAATATATCCTCACAACTGCCCCCTAGGTTCTATTACCTCGGCATTAACCTATATCATTCTGTTTTCCCAATACGTCAGTTTTCAGTATCTCAGTCGAGATCATTATTTTGGCCGACATGTCTTTGTTGAAAAATAAGAACTTCAAAAACCCTTTCACGCGTATGAGCTGTCATACACCATAATTCAACCGTTTTTAACCACGCGTTTCCTTCTTATTGGTTCTTACCTGTGACGCGCCTGTAAGCCGTCTCTCTTTCACGTGCGCCGTCTGACGCGTACGTTCTTCCAGGCGTATTGATTACTTTTTGCCGCCGTTTTCATTTTTAACAAAACATCTCTTCATTTTTTTTTCCTTTCACCTTATTTTCGTTTCTAGAAAACTTTTTCTCTCTCTAGCTTTCTCTTATCGAGCCCGCCATTGTTCAAGCTTCCTTGCTCTGAACCTTATTCTGTTCACCCCTTCCGGCGTGTTTTGCACCATTTCGTTGCCTCTACGACCGTCGTCTGACTTCGGCGATCTTTACACCGGCTTCATATTTTCTGGTAAGCAACTGTTTTCGTCTTATTCCAGTTCTTGATCTTTTCTGAAATTTCCTGTTATTACTGCCTTGCTCAAACATTTAATTTGCGAATCATACATCTGAATGCGTTGATTTTACTTTCTGCTTATGCCTTGAATACATGTACTGTTCATAGTTTCCTTGCACGTCCTGCCACTGTTCTTGGCCTTCAATCTTTTGTATTCTTCATGTTTTTGATAGTCCATCTCTGTTCTTGATTCTGAAACTTCGCCTTTGTTTTCTGTTTTTTGTGTCTTTTCCAGATCTGTGCCTTTGATCTTCATCTTCATAGTTTTAGGTTTGGGATTTGTCTATAGTACCCACATCTTAGGAAAAACTGAAACATCCCTTACAAATTTCTGCACCAGTTCAAACCTAGATTTTTTGCCGAGGTCCCAATAACCCTTTTCTAAACACCTTCTTTCTGAAATCCAATACCTTTAGTTATCCCGATATCATGGGTATGTGGAAACATCGGGTATACACCCCTTCTAAGCTAGACTTTTTTAGGCACGAGTTTGAAATCCCAGCCGATGTCAATCTAAGGTTGGCTGGGGATGATGACTCCATCATGCCTACTGATCACTCCACGCCCTTCCCTGTAGTTGCCTTTATTGAGTGTGGACTTCGGTTTCCACTTAACCCTTTTTTTCGTCAAATCCTTCATTTCTATAAGTTGAACCCAATGCAACTCGCCATCAATTCTTACCGAGTTATTACTGGTACCATAGCTTTAGTTAAACAAGAGAATGCTAGGATTACACTTGCCGACTTCCAATACTGTTATACCATGTGTCGTCTTAGAAAAGACACGGACACCTTAAGCCGAGATCCACCAATATAAAATCGTAGCTGACCTCCTAGACTCCAACAAGGGAGCTAGAGACGATTACTTCATTGTCTCGGGCAATTGGGAGTTTCAGCCAAACGACAACCTCCATCGTTATCCCTTAAGCCGCACTGTTTTGGGGGAAGGAGCTGGTAAGGGCCACCCTTCATAAGTTTCTTTTTATCTTCTTGCATAAAGTTTTCAATATTTTCTGTACTAATGTCTGTGCTATTTTTATCTTTTGCAGTTCTTCCTCAACCTCCGAAGAATTTTCACCAATCCTTCTATCCCAACAAGGATTTGAAAAAACTTCTGAACTTGCCAATTCACAAACGAAAGGCGCCTCTGCTCCTCAACTTTATTCCAACATACAGGTCCGCTTTGTCCGACGTCCCTAGGAGGAAGAAAAAAAGCCTTTCTCCACCATCTGCCACAACGCCACAGACCGCATCCACATCTCGGACAGACCAGGGGTCAACCTCTGATCCAGCCGAGCAATTGTCAACTTCAGCTCCATACTTGGTTCCAATATCACAACGTCGCCGCCGACGCCGAACAGTCTCTACTGCTGAGATGGGTCGCCCAAAACCAGTTGCAAAAGACCTTCTGGCCTGCATTCCATCATCTGTTAACGATCAACCAACACAAACCCAACCTCCATCGAAGCCAAAAAGAATAAAGAAGACTCAACCAAAGGCTAAGGTATCTCAGGTTGAGTCTGAAGACACCTTGCCTATCTCAAAGTTAGCTGAGAGTGACAAACCTCAACCCTCGGCTGGGAAGAGGCGCTCTGAAACCCAACCATCAGAATCCCCAAAATCCAAAAAGCCGAAGTCATCCTCCGCTACAACTTCGGGGTCTAAGAAGCCTGCTGCCCCCTGGGCCCCCAAAATTACTTTAGAGGATAAGCCAGTCATAGCAAATGATAGTGCCGAAGATATTAATATCGGCGTTGCGCTCAGCACTGCTCTGCTGTTACCAGGTGATCTGGAGCGAAACGCCGAGTTGAGCGAATACAAAAACTATGCATTGATGCTTCAACGCTCTGTTCAAGTAAGCGTCCTTCATCTGACATTTTTCCTTTTCTTTTTCATACTTAGAAAATTTTGAAATAACTTTTACCTTGTGTTTTCTTCAGGCCATTCAGCATGCCCACTCTTTTTCTGTTCAGTCTTTCGAAAATCGGCAGAAGCTGGTTGATATGAAGAGGGAGTTCTCTTCTCTTCAAAAAACCAACAAAGGTCTTCAATCAAAAACAAAAAAAATAGAGGACCAAGCCGAGGCTGCAATCAAAGCTCAGACCAATGCCGAAGAGAGGGCTGAGGCTGCTGAGGCTATCAGGAAAGTGGCTAAGTCTCAGAAGAGAGAAGCCGAGGAAAAAATGGTCCAAGTCGAAAAGGAGCTTCAGGAGGCACTGGCCATCAAAGAAGCCGAAACAAAAGATGCTGACGAGAAGGCGTATGCCCAAGGCATGACCGACGTCATAGATGCCTACGAACAACAGGTGAAGGAGGCATGCAACAAGGGTTTCACCCTTGGTTAGATGTCCCTTCTAAAGAAACTTAATGTCCTAGAGGACTCACCACTGAGGAAAGCCGATACCATTCTTCTTCCATTCCCTCCAGCTCAACCTCCAAGTCAAGATGTCGGCGAATCTGAGTCTGAGGATGGTGATGAGGAAGAGGATGAGGCTTTGGTAAGAAAATCCAAAGATGCTGATGGGGCCAAGTCCCCTCTTCAGAATAAGCAAGTCCTAGACTTGACTTAGGATGAAGAAGGCGATAAGGTTAACAAAGACGCTGCTTATGTGAAGTAATCAGCCGATGCCATTCTTGCTGATAAGAACCTTGATGACACTCTTGCAGAAATTGACGCCGAGGTCGCAGCGGATAAGGCTACTGAGATGTCTTCTCAACAAACATCTAATCTTCAAATTCAACCAACTGGTGGAAAGGAGTCTTAGCTTCATGTTTTTCTTTTGCTTACTTGTATTTTGTTTCTTCTTTATCTTTTGAAACAATGTAAGCTTTTTGTATAGCCGATGTGCCCTTTTCTTGGTGAATGCTAATGCAACTTTTCTTTTTCTAAGTGCTTGCACCCTTGTCTTCTTTTCATTGCTTCTGCATGACTCTATACTTAGAATACTCTGCATGTCTTTCACATACCTTTCCTTCTTTGTATAAGCTTCTCGGGGTGACACACCTCGGATAGATAAACGTCTTGGTTTTAATCTTAACTTGTAAACTTTTAACAAGTGTTGAACATCATACTGGTTTAACTTTAACTCAACTTGTAAATTGTCCACAAATTTCAACAAGTGCTAAACAATGACTTCGGTTTAACTTAACTTGTAAATTGTCCACAAATTTCAACAAGTGCTAAACAATGACTTCGGTTTAACTTAACTTGTAAATTGTCCACAAATTTCAACAAGTGCTAAACAATGACTTCGGTTTAACTTAACTTGTAAATTGTCCACAAATTTCAACAAGTGTTAAGCAATAATTTCGGTTTAACTTAACTTGTAAATTGTCCACAAATTTCAACAAGTGTTAAACAATGATTTCGGCTTAACTTTAACTTGGAAATTGTCCACAAATTTCAACAAGTGTTAAGCATATTCTTCTTCTTCTCTCTGCCCCCTAATGTGAACTTGAGTTCCACTTGGGTTCTCATTATGCATGTATTCTAGAGACAATGTCAAGTTTTCTTGAAAAGAGAACATAATCTTTCTTTATTTATTTTGACGAATGGCCAAGGAACAAAGAAATTTTAATGATAAAAAATTTTCAAATTACAAGTGTTTCAAGGTCTTGGCAACTCTTTGCCCTTATTATCTTCAAGTCGATATGCCCCATTACCCAGTACCGAGATGATTCTGTAGGGTCCTTCCCAGTTTGGGCCAAGCTTGCCCTCTTTGTGATCCTTCTTATTGCCGACGACTTTCCTCAAGACTAGGTCGCCGACTTGAAACTCTCTTGGATTGACTTTCTTGTTATAAGTTTTTGCAAGTTGCTACTGGTATACTGCAAGCTGGATTGCAGCTTTCTCTCTTCTTTCTTCTAAAAGATCTAGATCTCGGGCTAACAGTACATCATTAGTCCCGTTTTCAACTCCCTGGGTTCTAATTCCTGGGATGTCAATATCCAACGGAATGACTGCTTCTGTGCCATAAGCCATGGCGAAGGGGGATTCTCCTGTTGATCTTCTCGGCGTAGTCCGATATGCTCAGAGTACATTGGGCAATTCGTCTACCCACTTGCCTTTTGCTGCCTGCAGCCTCTTTTTTATTCCATCCAAAATTACTTTGTTGGATGCTTCTGCTTGTCCATTGCTTTGTGAAAATCTTGGGGTTGAAAAGTAGTTCTTGATCTTGAACTTTGCACAAAAGTTCTTGATTAGCTTGCTGTCAAATTGAGTTCCATTGTCTGCAACGATTGCTCTCGAAATTCCAAATCTAGTAATGATGTTTCTCCATATGAAGTTCTTGACATCCACATCTCGGATCTTGGCAAGTGACTCTGCTTCTATCTATTTTGTGAAGTAATTTGTTGCTACTAGCAAGTACTTTCTTTGTCCAGTTGCTTTGGGTAATTGCCCAACGAGATCCATGCTCCATTGGGCAAATGGCCAAGGACTGAATACAGGGTTCAGGTCAGCAGCTGGCTGGTGTATCAAGGGTGCAAACCTTTGGCATTGTTCACACTTCTTCACGTAGGCTTCTGCATTCTTTTGCATGTAAGGCCACCAATACCCCTAGGTAATGGCCCTGTGAGCTAGTGATCTACCCCCTGTGTGGCTTCTACAAGTTCCTTCGTGGATTTCATACAGAAAATCTTCAACCTGCAAAGGGTGTACGCATCTTAAAAGGGGTCCAGTGAAGGACCTTCTGTAAAGATGTCCTTCTGCTGTCAGACTGAATCTTGCTCACTTCAATCTGATCTTGTGTGCCTCCTTGCGGTCATCTGGTAGCTTTCCTTCTTTTAGGAACGCAACAATTGCATCCATCCAGCTTAGTCCCATGTCTATGCACATTGCTTCATGCTCTGTGGTTACAGGTTCAATGCTAGGGCCCGACAGGTAGTCGATCATTATTATCCTTGCTTTTCCAGGTTGTACTGCACTAGCTAGGTTAGCCAACGCATCAGCGTGACTATTATAATCTCGGCTTACCTGAAGTAGTCGGCAGTTCTGAAATAAGGCTGACAGTCTGATGACTTCCTTTGCGTAGGCCGACATTCGTTCATCTCGGGCTGCGAACTACCCTGTTGTCTGGTTAACTATTAGTTGTGAATCACAAAAAACTATTACCTCATCTGCTTGCACTGTTGCTGCCAACTTCAGTCCTGCAATGAGTGCTTCATATTCTGCTTCATTGTTTGAGGCCTTGAACCCCAAACGAATTGATTGTTCTAGTACCTGCCCATCTGGGGATATCAATACTACTCCTGCCCCTACTCCTTGTCGGTTTGAACTCCCATCGACAAACAATCGAAAGGAGTTGCCGATGTAAATGCTGCAGGGTCTGAGTTTGTCATTTTTCCTTTGTTCCTTTGCCTTTGGCTGTGCTTCTCCTTGCTTGGCTGGACATCGCTCTTCCTGGCTCAATGGAGCCCGATGTTCGATGGACTCTGGTGTGAACTCGGCCACGAAGTCGGCCAGAACCTGGCCTTTGATTGCTGTCCTTGGCCTGCACTCTAGGTCATACTGGCCTAGGGTGACTGCCCATCTGGCTATTCTTCCTGTTAGGTCTCCTTGTTGCAGTAAGAACTTCAAGGGGTGCCCTGTTAGCACCACAATTTTATGGGCCTGGAAGTAATGGTTCAACTTTTTTGAAGCCATTACTAAAGCTAGTGTCAACTTCTCTAAAGGCAGATACCTCGTTTCTGCATCAGCTAGGGTTTTGCTTACATAGTAAACAACCCTTTGTTCCTCTTTCTCTTCTCGGATTAGTACTGCACTTATTGCATGTTCTGAAACGGCTAAGTACAGGAATAGCTCCTCCCCAGGTTCTGGATTTGAAAGAACTGGAGCTGTGGTCAAGTATTTTTTTATGTCGGCCAAAGCGACTTCGCATTCTTCTGTCCATAGGAAGTCTGTGGCTTTCTTTATCAAGTTGAAGAAAGGTCTGCACTTATCTGAGCTTTTGCTGATGAATCTGTTCAGGACTGCGGCCCTTCCAATTAGTATCTGCACTTGCTTTGCCGACGTCGGGCTCTTCAACTCTAGGATGGCCTTGATCTGATCTGGGCTGGCCTCGATGCCCCTTCTGGTCACCAGGTATCCTAAAAACTTACCAGATCCAACTCCAAATGCACATTTCGATGCATTAAATCGGAGCCGATATGTTTTAAGGATTTCAAAGACTGTTTTTAGATCGGCAAGATGACCCTCAGGCTCCTTGGTCTTAACGACCATGTCGTCGATGTAGACTTCTACTGTTCGGCCAATCAGGTACTTGAACATTTTGGTTATCAGCCTTTGGTAAGTCGCTCTTGCGTTTTTCAACCCGAAAGGCATTACTCTGTAACAGTATAGGCTTTTTGGGGTGATGAACGCTGTCTTCTCTTCATCTGGGGGGAACATGGCTATCTGGTGGCACCCCCTGTAGACATCTAGGAAGCTCATTCTTCCATGCCCTGAAGTGGCATCTACTAGCTGGTCAATCTTTGTTAGAGGAAAGTTATCTTTGGGACAGGCTTTGTTGAGGCTGGTGAAGTCTACGCAGACCCTCCATTTACCGTTCTTCTTCTTTACCACCACTGTATTGGATAGCTATGTGGGGTAGTGTACTTCTCTAATGGCCCTAGCCTCTAGGAGCCTGTCTACTTCTTCTTCTACTGCTTCGACGTGCATCAACGTCGGTCTTCTGGCTCGTTGAATTACAGGTTTGGCCGACCTGTCAACATTCAGTTTGTGGCAAGTGACCTCGGGGTCAATGCCAGGCATTTCGTAAGGTGTCGTAAGGTGTCCAAGCGAACACCTCAATATTTGCTCTCAAAAAAGTTTCCAACTCCTTTTCCTCTTCTTCGGCTAAGCCCGAGCCGAGAAGAAAGAAGCGTTCTTCATCCCCATCCTGGACAAGGATTTTCTTTAGTGCCTCTTCGCTTTTCTCGGCTGGCTATTTGCCGACATCTTCTAGGACTTCCACGTCCTTATCTTCAATTTTTGCCTTCTCTGGCTCTCGCACGCTGCAGGTAGATTTCATTGCTGCCATGGAGCAATTCTTCGCCTGCAGCTGATCGCCTCTGACTTCTTCTATCCCATGCTGTGTTGGGAATCGCAATAGTTGATGCAATGTTGAGAGAACTGCCCCCATTGCATGCAACCATGGCCTCCCCAAGATGATGTTGTAGGGGGAGGGTGTGTCAATGATGGTAAATTCTGTCTTGATCTTCCTAGTGCCAGCCTGCACCTCCAAGCTTACTGCTCCTAGAGGCCATGTCGGCGTTCCATTGAACCCAACCATTGGGCCATTGGGCTATTCCATATCACCTTGGTGAAGGCCGAACTCTTTGTAACATCGAACGTACATGATGTCGTAAGAGCTGCCTTGATCAATCAGGATGCGTTTCACTTGGCACTCCCCAACCTGGAGGGATACTACCAAGACATCATTATACGGATGCTGGACCATCTCTAGGTCGGCTTCAGTAAAAGTTATCATTGGTCCTTGGCATTCCTCTGCCCGATGTCTTTTTTCCCCGACTTGGTAGACATGTTGCAGGTGCTTCACTTTCTGGGTCTCTCCTCGGATTTCGTTTTCGTTGACCTTCGAGTGGATTACGTTGATTATCCGAGGTCCTCCTGCCCGTGGCTGTTGTGCTGGGGGAAGTGGGGCTGCCGGTGCCTGAGGCAATCTTGCCCGTTCTTCCCTTGTTCTGGTCTCATCGATAAGGTCTCTCAGATGTCCTTGTCTCACTAGATCTTCCAAATATGTTTTTAGGGCTCTACAACCCTGAGTTGTATGCCTATCTTCATTATGGTAGGCACAATGCCTGCCAATGTTTCTTCCCATGAACTCTCCTGGAGTCCTTTCTGG